GCTTACAACACATCTTCAACCAGAAGGAGCTCAACATGAGGCAACGACGGTGGGTCGAGCTACTCAATGACTACGAATGCGAAATTCGTTATCATCTGGGTAAAGCCAACGTAGTAGCTGACACCCTGAGTCGGAAGGAATACTCTGGTCGTAGAGTCAAATCATTGGCTATGACTATCCATTCACACTAAACCACACAAATTAAGGTGGCTCAGCTTGACGCTTTGAAGCCTGAAAATGTGGCGGGTGAATCCCTAAGAGGAATGGATAAGAACTGGGAGGTTAAGGGTGGCGGAGCTTATTATTTCATGGACCGGATCTGGACCCCGAAACTCAGTGGTTTCAGAGACTTGGTCATGAATGAGGCACACAACACTTGTTATTCTGTGCATCCGGGATCAGATAAGATGTATATGGACCTCAAAAGGTTATACTGGTGGCCTAACATGAAAGAAGATATTGCTACCTTCGTGGGTAAATGCCTTACTTGCACCAAGGTCAAGGTCGAATACCAGAAACCCTCAAGTCTATTCAAACAGCCTGAGATACCAGAATGGAAGTGGGAGCGGATAACTATGGATTTCATAACCAAGTTGCCCAAGACGACGGGTGGACTTGATACCATATGGGTCATCGTCGATCAATTGACCAAGTTTGCACAGTTTTTGCCGATTAAAGAAATAGACAAGATGGAGAAGCTTACAAGAACTTACATTAGGGAGATTGTACGACTGCACGGTGTTCCCTTATCTATTATCTCGGACAAAGATAGTAGATTCACTTCGAGGTTTTGGCAGTCGCTAAAAAGTTCCTTAGGAACTAGGCTGGACATGAGTACAGCCTACCATCCACAGACAGACGGGAAAAGTGAGAGAACTATCAAAACCTTGGAAGATATGTTGCGAGCCTGTGTGATATACTTTGGGAAAGCATGGGATACTCATTTACCCATTCTCGAATTTTCCTACAACAACAGTTATCACACGAGCATAAAGGCTGCTCCATTCGAGGCCCTCTATGGCCGAAAGTGCAGATCCCCTCTGTGCTGGGCTGGGGTGGGTGATACCCAGTTAGCTAAGGGACGAGTTCCCGAAAGAACTCTCATAGGCCCGGAGATCATACGGGAAACAACGAAGAAGATTGTCCAGATCCGCGAACGATTGAAAGCCTCCAAAGACCGATAGAAAAGCTACGCTAATAAACGTAGGAAACCGTTGGAATTCCAGGTGGGTGACCGAGTTCTATTGAAGGTCTTACCCTGGAAGGGCTTGATACGCTTTGGAAAGCGTGGAAAGCTAAATCCAAGGTACATTGGGCCTTTCGAGATTCTCGCAAGAATCGGCCCTGTAGCTTACAAACTTAACTTACCGCGCGAATTGAGTAACGTACACTCTACCTTCCGCGTATCGAGCTTGAAAAAGTGTCTGTCCGACAAGACTCTTGTTATTCCACTCGAGGAGATCGAGATCAACGAGAGCCTCAACTTCGTGGAGGAAACAGTAGAGATCATGGACCGAGATGTTAAGCAAACGAAGCAAAGTCGTATCCCGATAGTGAAGGTTCGCTGGAACGCCAAGCGAGGATCGGAATTCACTTGGGAGCATGACGATCAGATGAAACTGAAATATTCTCATCTTTTTGCTTAGTCATTTGTAACTACTTTATTTTGTTTAGACCTTAATTTCGGGACGAAATTCCCTTTAACAGGGGGATGATGTGACAACCCGGAATTTTCATTCGGTCAAACCATAAAAATCAATCACTTCATATTATAAGTCAAGTTCACTTTTAGGAGATTAAAGTTCGTTTGATTATTTTAATAATTAATCCTTCAACGACCGGGTGAACGGATGGGCCGTCTCGGGTCTTGAAATTTCTAAACCGCGAATACCACGTAGCTTCGAAGTTCACGGCCAAACTTTTATGTTTGGGCCGTAAACTCCCTTAAAAACCGTAAACTCATGCCTTAAACATGAGTTTACTCCCCAAAGTAGATCACTTTTCATTTACACCCTAAAAGAGTAAACTCAAAACACTCTCAAATATCATCCCGATTTTCGCCTGATTTCCCGAAAACGTAAGTACTTCTTGGCTAAATTAATTGTTATATCACAACATCTAGTGATTATACATCCTTTAATCCATCAAATTTCATGTTTTGATTATATTTCCAAAACACCAAGAACACACACTAGTGTTCTTGGACTTTAAGTTCATTTCAAGCTTACACAAAGTAAGTACTTCTATCCTATAGTCATTTAAAGCTTGCTATACATGTTTACGTTAGGAAAATGTCCCTAGAACACAAAGTGAAAGGTGTTCACGGTCTAAGAATGTTCTTAGACCGTAAACACCAAGTAAGGCACAAAAGTGTGCCTAAGTCTTTTATCTAGCCCTAGGTTGATGTTTAAATCCTTCCTTGATGTGTTTAAGCCATGAAAAACACCAAAGTCCATCATTTATATGTGTTTACGGTTTCTGGATCTCCTAAAACCATAGACACCCCAATGTGGGTATAAATGGACCATATTCCTTCCTTAGGCCTAAAATCTAACCTAGACTTTTACCTTGTTGAGCTAAGGACTTGAAAACATAACAATACCCCTTTCCATATGGGTTTACGATGGTAAACCCAAAAGGAAATGGCCTTGGGCCGTAAACTCCTCCAAGGAGTGTAATAATGCCCTAATCCCTTCCAACAAGCCTAACCACCAAGTAGAAATGCTTCAAAGGATTTATAAAACCTCAAAACAACTTATGGTCATAAAGTGTAGAGTTTACGACCATAAACCCTTGAGTTTACTGCCGTAAACTCCTTGGGTAATGATCATGAAAACCAAAAACTCCAAAGGAGTTTACCCTTGAACCCCAAACACTCTAGCCTTGACCTACAACAACTTAGATGCCATCCTTAGGGCTAATAACACTTATGTAAGGTGTTTAGCATGTTCTAGGAGGTCTTATCATTATCAATTAGTAGTTTAAGACTAATTTTGTACATATATGTGTGATTATATGTTAACTAGGATCATAGAGTGTGTTCAGGACTTCACTTGACACCTAGCAATCCTACATCTTCAGTACATCTGTACCACTCACTACAGGTGAGTTCATACCCCTAATCAATGGTTTAAATGTTTTTAACTGCTTTTATGTGTGGGGGGATACAAGATGAATACTTATAGTTATTACATCAATCACATGTGATTAATAACTACAAAACCAATGATTTCCTTACTATTCAAACTGTTTTGCTTATCAAATACAGTTACCTAATCTCCGTTATACTTATTATCAATTGCATGCCTATATATGTATAGTTATATAATCAATGTTTAAAGGACTCAGGAAAGCGATCCGCCTTATTTCCTTTTCGCCGTTGAGATGTGGTCTGGTGGGGTATTGGGTATCCGTCTGAAGGTCATTTAAATACTAATTATATATCATGTGTACATATATAGTCATAAAAGGTCCCTCCAATCAATTCAATACCCTTGGGTAGCAAGGGTATACTTCCATGCTCATACGTACAAGTTATATTCTAGTAAACTACAATAGGCGTAGTTTAGGGTTTCACTAATACTAATACAAGAACAATGAATCATACAAAGAGCCAGTTCATACATGAGTCATAATACATAGTGATGAGAAACAAACATAATACATAATGATGAGAAACAAACATTATACATAGTGATGAGAAACAAACATAATACATAGTGATGAGAAACAAACATAATACATAATGATGAGAAACAAACATAATACATACTGATGAGAAACAAACATTATACATAGTGATGAGAAACAAACATAATACATAGTGATGAGAAAAAAACATTATACATAGTGATGAGAAAAAAACATAATACATAGTGATGAGAAACAAACATAATACATAATGATGAGAAACAAACATGATACATAGTGATGAGAAACAAACATACATGCTAGACAAAGGAAGAACACACAATACAGCTAGCACATACATTACATATACACTACATTCAGTTATGTGAGCCATTAAACGGGTCATGGCACTACCTGCCATGACCGTTCTTGTATCAAGAATCTCCTTAATTGGGGAGCGTATGAGTTTGCATATAGATCTATACTGGATTGACTATCCTACACCTTGCTATTTGCTACAGTGGGACTTGCAAGTCTACAGGTGCCAAATGTCATTACTTACTGCGTCTTACATCGTCGTTTTACTATTGAGTCGGTAGCAGGGTACAGGCCGATCACATGGTACTTTAAATAACAATTGGTTTAAGGTAATTAGTACAACAGTAGTTACTTAATACAGCACTACAATACTATAATATTTATCGCATTACATTTACTTCGTGAACATTCACACGATGCATGGTAATGTAAAAACTATATTTTGGTTAATGATAGTTGGATTTGGAAAAATACAAACTCTTATAAAAGACACACACACAGTTAGTAGATGCCTTGGTAGAAGGCTACTCTTAGTAGGAAACATATGGTTTTTAGGATAGTTCAAACAAATACTAACTTTAAAAAACTTATACATTACATCTTACAAACAACTTACAATTTCTTTCATACAAACACAAACATTAATATACTTATGATCTCACCATCATTAAGCTGATACTCGCTTTTAAAATTACTTGTATTCTCAGGTCACCACTAGACAGGTACAGGTGTTATGCTTTCGAGAAGATGGAGTTCGTTCAAGACTCATCTTTTATTTTGATATGTATATTTTTGGTGTCTATAACATTGACAGAACACACATGTATGAAATTATATTATTAATGCAATGGATGATGTTGTTGCTTGTTTACTACTATTCATTATTGTGATACTATACATGACGTCCTCCGCCCCAGAATGTTCCCGCCATTCATGGTTTTGGGGTGTCACATCTATTCACTATCTGCTGCAGTGCCATGTGTTGGAATCCCGTCTTCATCATCATCAACGGCCACATTGTTATTTTGAAATGAGATACTGGGTTCATCGTATCATGTGAAATACTCATAACACAGTCCTTCTCTCTTTATAAAATTATGAAGCACCAAACATGCCATGGCAATGTTTCTTTGTGTAACAAATGGGAATGGTTTCATCCTCTTCAATATTGGGAAGCGTGTTTTCAAAACACCAAAAGCACGCTCAATGACATTTCGAAGTTTTGCTTGTCCATGGTTAAATTTTTCTTTATTGGTCAATGCACTTCTGTGAAGAAAATCTCCAAGCCAATACCTCACATTACGATAAGGGAACAGAAATCCTTGAGTTTGTGCATACGCGACATCACAAAGATAATATTTGTCTGTAAACATTGCAAAACACTAATCAATTTTCAAATTAAGATAAAAATATTTATAAAAACAAAAACTTACCTGGTGGTGGAAACGGGAATGGTGCTTGTGGATCGGCTACTGCTTCTGATAATATTGCAGAGTATTGCGCTAACCCTTCCCATCCGACAACAACAAATGTAAAAATCATATTGAAGTCACAAATTGCCAATACGTTTTGGTAGCAATCTCCCTTTCCCCTACTTCTATATAAGTCTTGTTTCATAGTATGGACAACGACATGTATCAAAGTGTCATCCAGTGCACCAACCGCCCCTTTGAAAACCCGTCTTAGCCTTCAATTATGTACTTGAATGTTTGGATTCGAATTAAAAGAAGTCGGTACTATAACGTCTTGTGCGAAAAGCATCATTTTTCCAACACTTCATAAAAAAATTTATGAATTTTTTGCTTCGAGTGTTGAAATATCCCCTTTATAATCACGTAACGTTGATTATGATCGATCATCATAAAAAACATAACCATCTTTTCCTCAAACAATACATGTTTACTGTCCTTTAATGAGTAATTTGCTCTAAAATGAGCACATAGTCATACAAAAGAGTCACGTGACATGCGTAGTACTTCAACACATTTTAAACGATTACGATGCAATAACTCTAATGTGTATTCATGTCCGGTCATTTCCGAATCATTATCCCGCAATCGTTTCACACCCCTCTTCCAAAAATAACGGATGTAAAGGTACATAAGAATTACGATAGTATCTTTTGATCGTGATCCATTATGAACCTAAAATCAACAAAGTGGAACTTTAAAAAACATTACCTTAATCATATGTCAAGTAGAAGAATAACAAAAAATAGTTCCAAAAAAGGTAAAGAGACCTAACAAAATAGTTCCAACAAAAGCAAAAAGACCTAACAAAATGACTGAACAAATAGTTTCAACACAAGAAAAATCATCGAACAATCTTTTTGTCCTTCAAAACTCCTAAACTTGTAATCGTCATCTCAAGCCATCCTCGTAATATCTCAGGAATATCGGGCAAATGCATCCACATTTCTCTCATGTTCATGGTCCCACCAAAAATATGATATGCAACAAAGTGTAAAGGATCTGTAGGGCCTAACTAAAGCACCTCTAACTTCTCTAAACAATGAGGAATTGTATACCCTTTAGTCAAATTTTGTAAATCTTTTTTCATTTCAAATGCTAAATCGTCAGTAGTAATAGAAGTTCTATTTGGTGAAGAAGCAGATTGTGAGGCAGTAGGAGCTATTGGAGTTTAGGGTTTAACCCTTTTTGTTGGGGTTACCGAAGGGTGAACCAGTATATGGTGAAGCAGCAGAAGGTGGAGGCTCATGAAAATGCTCACTAGCATGATGGGGAAGTGTCATCACCATCATCATCTATCGCAAGAAAAGGGGTGCCCGTAATCTAAAGTGGTGGAACACGACAAGAAGATGCTCCAACTACTGATGATGATTGGGTTGAGTAACTCCTAAAATTACCAATTGTATTATTTCCATCAAGAAGACGTGCACAAAGATTTGAAAAAGGCAGTGGAATTGTTCTTAATGAAGCAGCCTTCGGATGCACCTAAACCCAAATGTAACAAAAAAAAAATAGTATAAGATTATTTGGCAACTTCAAACGTAAATTTTTAAAAATATACATATGTGTGTGTACCTTCTTAAAATTATCCCATTTCTCCGTTGTTAAGTTAAAAGTGTTTGTTTGAGAATTGTATTTATTGTTGGCTTTGTTTTTGAAATATACTCATCCTGTGTATTTGGCTTTCAGATCGTCATATGCGTTTTCATTTGCTTTTTAGTCAAATCAATGCCAACTTTTTCCTTAAGAACTCTTTCAAGCCTTATCTATGAATCTTTCTGCAAACCCAATCCTTTTTTACCCACATTCTATACTTCTTCAATAAAAGTATCCAATAAGCATTTTAAATGCTCATTGGTCCATTGTTGTTTCTCAACAACATTATGTCATATTTGCAAAACCAAATAACAATTTTCAGCACATTCTAACAAAAATTTCAGTAAAAAAAGGAGCATTTTCAGCAAACAATCAACAAATTAACATCATTATATCATATTTCCAAAACCAAATAATAATTTTCAGCACATTCTAACAACTATTTCAGCAAAAAAAAAAAAAAAAAAAAGAGTATTTTTAGCACATTCTTACAACAATTTCAAGCAATAAAGAGTATTTTGAGCAAGAATCACCACATTCTAATCATTATTTCCTATTTCAACACATACTTTTATATTGTAATCAAGAAAAAAGCTTGATTTCACAAATGTTACAGATTTTCAGCAACAATCAACAAGAAATTTAAGCAAGAAAGGTAATTTTCAACATTATTTTCGGATTTGTAACATCTAACACCAAATTTAAGCAAGAACAAACATTTTCAGCAAAATCAAACAATATACTTAACTCGATTAGAGACTTATCCAGCAAAATTAATCACCAATTTCATGTTTGAAGTGAAAAAAAGAGATGTTGAGCAGTGAAGTGAACGAGATAAGAAGCATATCAAAGAGGATAGTTGAACTCCGATAACTCGGCGTCATTGAGGCCGAAGACGCCGACAGATGGCAGCGGCGGCGGATCGGAGATGAGTATAGCAGGTCGGTGCTGGAGTGAGGCAGAGAGTCGAAGGAAGGTATGGAGGCACGATGGAGAATGCGTTTGAAGAAGAGAATGAGCGTTTTTTAGGTCAAAAGTCGGCACACTTGAGAAGTGGGTAGTCCATGTTTGCGTGGTGAATTCCTCGCGCAAATGTTTTTATATTTGAACACTTAAAAAAAACGCTTTGCAGGGATATAAGTCTGCACGTTGTAAGCGGGGCGCAAACAAAAGTGGTGTTGCAGAGGTTTAAAAAAAACAAACTCCTTAGTCTTTAGTTATATCTCAACATAATTTTCTTTTAAATTGAATTGGTTTAATAAATCCTTTTAATGATGTTTGATTTTTTGGAAAAATAAATTGTTAAGTCTGAGCATGGGTGTTAAAAACATGGGTGTTAAAAATATAAGGTTTTATTCAAACTTTACAATTTTTGGTTGTTCAAGGTTTTAACTGTAAGTTATTAATTACTAGTTTTGCACTCATATTTTGTTTGTGGGTAGTTTGTGTAAATAATGCAAATTTGATGGACTGAGGAGTTAAACTTGTTAATTGCTTCCAGGTCAACATACGAATCTAATTGTCGGGTTTGCCCCAGATAATTAAGGTCTGATGGCTTGCAGATGTTCTCATTCTTACACACATAGTTACACTATTCTTTCATTTTTCTCTCTTGTTCGATGTATCTACATTTAGTGTTTTCATACTCTGGTTTTTATTCAGTAAATCATTCAAGAAATTAGGTTTGGTTTCTATTATAGTGAGGTTCTGATTGTATGTTGATGAAAACCAAAATAAATGAATTGTTGATGTTGTCTATTGTGTATTTGAGTGTTTTTAACACCAACACATACCAAGTATACAAATCCGAATCGAAAAGGTTTATGGAGCACTAATTAAAAAGATATATTACTTTTCAGTTCGATCAAATCAATGATGGTCCTTGCGGATCGGGGTGTAAGCAATACAAGTGAAAATTGGTAACGGCGATAATGATGGGCGGTGGGAATTATTTACTTTAGAATTTTAGTCAACTTAAAGATCTTGTGAACCAAAACTGTGGAATTGTGTCAACGACAAATATTTCCTTTTCGATACCGAAAAAGACAAACTCAAAAAATGCGGCTAAAGATTTGCGGCTAAACAGAATTTTAAAATAAAGAATATGCTTCCATCAAATATACAACACCAATTCAGGAAAATAGAATTTTTATATTAAAAAATATGTTTCAGTTAAAATTAAAACACAAATTCATTTCCGTTAAAAACTAGTTGGTAGCATAAAACTATAAGCACAAACAATTTTTTTATTTTTTTTGTTTTTTTTTGTTTTTTTGTTTTTTTGTTTTTTTTTTTACAAATGTTTGTAAAAAATATTGTTGGGAGCTTTAAAAATACAAAATTAGATACAAACTAAAAGATAAAAGTTAAACGCTCCTAAAATTATTTGAACTAATTATTGAATAAAAGTTTTGTTTAAAATTAAACCTAAAAACTCTTCCTGTCGAACAAAAAAAATTTTCGATCTTTTTTTTAAAACTAAAATCTAAAACTACCAAAAACTCTCAAAAACTCTAACACGGTTAGATGTTTATATTTTATGGTGGTAGGTATTGTAACTTAGTTTACGTAGTTTTTTGGAAACTAAAATTAAATATCATATAGCAATATTATAACTCATGTTTTTAAGGGGAAGGAGTCATAGTGGGTTGGAGGAGAAGAGGGATAAGCGGGAGGAGAGCAAGATAGAAAGAGAAGGGTGTTTCGGTTTGAGGAATCCGCTGGAGGTTGAAACCAAATAAGAAATTTCGGGAAGACGGGTTGGGAGGAATCTGGCTTGGACGAATTTGTTATGACAGAAGTATACAATCAACAAACTAATTGAAATAAAACAAACGAAATTTATATATATATATATATATATATATATATAGTATGATGATTACTCAGGAAATTTACTCACGAAATTGTACATATTGAGGCCTGCTTTGCAGTGTCCTAAGACAGAAATTTCCCTGGTAGAGATCTGTCAAGAGGATACAACAATCAACCAAGAACTTCTTTTGATTCTGATGAAATTCTCTATGTTCCCTTCATTGTATGTGGAGTACGAAATTATATGAGGAATTTGTGTGTTTTTTCTGAACCCGAAATCTGGTCTTTGGTGATCTATTTATAGATATAGATTGAATGGTTTTTCCCTTCAAAACTGCTAACCGAAAATAACTGTCAAAACAGTTAAAACGAATTTAACAGATTTTTAATATATAATAAAAGTCAAAATCGGAATATATATATATATAATATTTTAACTAGTCAATGAGACCCCAAGAGCCCCAAGGCCCAAGGCCAATCTTTGACCATTAAATATATATATGAATCTAAGCTTTCAAGAACAATTTGACTAGCCCAATCACCAAATCCAACCCAATCCCTCTAGTCTAAGCCTTTAATCTAATTAGTATACAACTAGTAGGAGGCTTTTGAAAGGAGTATAAGTTTCCTCTTTCTTCCAATGTGGGACAAGTCCCAAAGAGAGTGTTTTCCATTTAACAAAGTTCCAACAATACCCCACATTTTCTATTCAAACTCCAAGAATACCCCACATTTGAATAGAAAATAAGTGAACTTTAATATTCAAATAAGGGAAATAAGATATGACATGCATCTAAAGAGGTGTTGGAAACTTGAACCTTTCATAGTGAGTATTACTTAGATCTACTTTATGGGTAGGGAAATGGAGTCTTGAACTAACCACTTTTTATAGTAGAATCAAAAACAAGAAGTATCACACATATCATATTTAAGCATAGATCATTTCTTACGGGTGCGTTCATTTCAGTCGTGAACAATCCTTTCTTCATGAGACTTTTAGAGAGCTTAGCCATATCAGCTCCCAAAGATGCGACCTCACATCCATCTCACATAGATAATGCTAATCTGGAACAATCCGTACTATACCACTATAAAAGCTATCAACATTATTAAGAATAAAGAATTCATCCCTATATCATCAATGGAAAAACTCAAAATAAATATCATAGGAGCGAGCATACCTTTGTGTTGGTGCTTCTTTGAGTCTTCCCCAACTAGTTATCCTATTGAACCTAGACCATGGGATCTCCAATGTTGCTAGGTTAGGTTTTCGCCAGGTGGTGACTCATTGTGTTGGCTTTAAGCTCATTCCCTTCGATGTAAAGAGAACTTGCTCTCTACTAAGGCCTTTTGTCAAGGGATCAGTTATATTTTCCTTTGACTTTATGTAGCTAATGGAAATGATTCCATTCTTCAGCAAGTATCTTATTGTAATATGTCTGCGTCTAATGTGTCTCGACTTGCCATTGTATATATGACTTTGTGCTCTAGTAAGAGCAGCCATACTATCACAATGTATGGCAATGGCAGTAACAGGTTGAGGCCACAAAGGAATACATTCTAGGAAGCTTTTAAGCCATTCAGCTTCTTCAGAAGCTTTGTCTAAAGCAACAAACTCTGCTACCATTATAGAACAAGTATTCACAGTTTGCTTAGATGATTTCCAAGAGATAGCAGCTCCACTAAGAGTGAACATATATCCACTTGTGCATTTTGCCTCAGAAGTATAGGAAATCCAATTTGCATCACAATACCCTTCAAGAACAGGAGGATATCTCGTGTAATCCAATCCATAATTCGTTGTATGCTTTAAATATCTAAGCACTCTCACTAATGCATACCAATGATCTTTCCCAGGACTGTGGGAGTAGTGGCTCAATCTACT